TCTGCTATAGCTCATACGCGAAAGATGTCCAACCCACCCGAGTTCGATTTTCATATATATATATATATATATATATATATATATATATATATATATTATAAATTAACTGATTTAAAATATGTTTTCTTTCGCTACACAGTTCTAACCATGTTTCAATAATGGAAGCTAAAATCTTCGAATTTAATTTTGTAATTAAATTAAAGACATTAGTTTCATTTCATCCTCAAGCGAATTTTGGAGTAACTTATTTTTAAATTTTCTGGATTTTAAAGGAACGGCAAAAATCATAATTTACAGTTTCCAAGGATACAGAGAAATCGATTCATCCAGACAAGGGGTGGTTGCGTGTTCATTTTTATTAACTTTTATATTTAGTTGGATTGATGTGAGTTTGTGACCCTGAGTTTCACGCTTTTGCGATGGTCAGAGTTTGTCTGTGCTATAAAAAGAAAACTGCAACATATATCAATTCGGCATTTAATCACCTTCGAAGTAGCCCCCTTCTGATGACTCACGCTATATCCAGCGTGGTTTCCATTGATGGAAGCATGCCTGGAATTCCTTTTTGGGGGATAGCGAGCAGCTGCCTTGTCGCAATTTTTTTTTTTTTTTGATTTCCTCAACGTCATGAAATTTTGTTCCTTTCAAGTGGGATTTGATATTTGAAGTGGAAAATGTCGCAAGAGGCAAAATCTAGGAAATCTGGTGGGTGTCGGGCCTGGGGTGTGTATGTCTAGGCAAAGACTACCGCACAAATCATGGTCACTGATAGAACCTCTGCGGTGCAGTGGGACGACCACATTCTACACACTTTCTTTCCAAGCATAGCTATAAACAGCGTAACTACATTGTAAGTGAGCATGCGCGACAGAGTTCAGTAACAATCTGTGCCAAGCGGCCTCACTGCGTACTTGTTAACATAACAACAGCACCTATACTTTTTAATCAGACATTATATATATATATATATATATATATATATATATATAGGGGGGTGATGTATTTAGGCAGTAAGTATTCTTTCATCAATATACAGCCTCTTATGGCATCCGTGGAGGATAGTACCCTCACATTTTACTGTCATTCCGGCTAAAACTCATTATCGAAAACCTAACTGTGATCACGTCTACTGTTTGGTCCCCGTAGCTTTCAGCAATCACCGACGAATATTCTTGGATACATTTCCGCATGAATTTCTTGTTCAATTTGAGATTATATACATTATTTACACTGTATTCTTTGTTGTTGTCATAACGTTTCGACAGTTGTGCCCAGCAGCCTTCATCAGACGCTTGTCACCCCGGGTTGCAGTCAAGGAATTTCAAACTAAGAAGTTTATTTCATCTACGGAGGGAGGCATATTGTTGCCATTCCAATGTCCCTGTTTAGGGATATCACGTCTAGTTCTTGTTTAGTAGGAAAATGCTTGCGCTCTTACCACTATGTCCGTACTATTCGACAGTAACTTAACCTAGTAATTACGGGTTCAATCCCTGGGTCTGGTGATACAGGTTTAGACCCTGTAGAAACAGGGGGAGCAATAGCTGAGCAGCACTAGAAAGAAGAACTAGGCAAGATATTCCTAAAAAAATCGGCAGTGAACCGAGAACAGTCGGTTAGACTGTTCTCGTTTCACTGCCGATTTTATAGATTAAATAAAGTGTTCAGTTCAGAATATAGATTAAATAAAGTGTTCAGTTCAGAATTCCCTGAAGGTTACCCAGATCAATATACACCCGAGGACGGCTGGAAGGCACAATGATCGAAACGTTGTGGTAAAAACAACAAAGATGAGGACAATAACCCGAATTGAAAAATTGTAAATGATGACTTTCATCTCTTATAAATAAAAAGGCCGTACTTTCAAAGAAACAGTTGCATAGTAGATAAGTTCGCACATCGTGCGGTGTACACTCCCACCCCCGTCTTTTGAGTAGGAGAAGAGGTTTATTCCTTGTTCCTTATTTCGCATTGAGATTCCCGGTCCTTCTAAAGTCTGCTTCAAATCTGTGTTTCTAACGTCTTTCCACACACCTACCCGATCGTCCTTTCCACACACCTACCCGATCGTCCTTTCCACACACCTACCCGATCGTCCTTTCCATACACCTACCCGATCTTTTGAACAAAAGTAAAAGTTTATCTCTCTTTCTCTTATTAGGATAGGGTTTCCGGTCCTTTCTAAAGTTTTTTCATTTATTCTCTTTCACCCCCACTAGCCCGTTCCGTGTTAGTGGCATCATTGCCTTGCATGGGGGTGAATTCGTGGACTCTCCCGACGTAGACCGACGCGGGCCGTTGACCCGCGCCTATCAGAGATCCTAAGCACGGCTAGGCAGCGAAGAGAAGTGAAAACTCCCCGCCGGACAGCCTTCGCCGCGATACTTCACCCTACGACGTATGAGGGTCAGGCCACTCAGTTCCTAGGAACCCACTGCCATATGATTTGATTATAGTGGTGAAGGTTTTGTGCAGAATCAATCACGCTTTTTGAAGAGCCGAATACAGAGACCTGGTGCACGTAAGTGAATGTAATTCATTCGACTGGAATTTGTCAATCCCAGAAGCTATCCATTACTCCACCCTATACATATATATATATATATATATATATATATATATATATATATATATATATATATATATGTGTGTGTGTTTGTATATATATATATACACAAATATATATATATATATATACATACATATATATATTTATATGTGTGTATGTGTATACACACACACATATATATATATATATGTTGGTCATACTACTACTACGTTGTCTCGAAGGTTGACTTTTTATTTGAATGTTGTATCTAACATATCTCAACATTTACAACAGCATTCCTGTCCAAATTCGTAATTTAGGAAAATTCTTCTTGATAATACATCTATACTTTTTCAAAAAAATAATAAACATAAACTAAAACTTCTTGAAGCTCTCTGTATTAAAAATTGAACTAACCCTTAATAAAAATAATTATGAATACTGCTCAAATATTTTCAAATGTTTACAGTAGATAGTTTAAAATATCTAGGTTTCATCTAATAGATTTAAATAGTTTTTTTTTTTAAATATTTAGATATTTCAGCAACCTAGTTACCTCACTTGACGTTTTCATCATAAAATTTAAAAATGTACAGTAGCATTTTTCACTACACAAGTAAAAAAAAAATTCAGATGAACACAACGAATTTGTCTTGGAAATATGAAGAAGAGAAAAGTTTTTGTTTTAGAAAATCAAGATCCTGATGTCGTCATTTATTTTCTCTGGCACTCCTTATTACTGGTTCCCATATTGTATTCATTTCTATGCTTGGTCGGCTCAGGAGATTTTTGTGGCCTAGCATATGTGCTGATTCCTTAGGTTTAAGAATTTTCCAATGATGTCCTTTGTCTATGATTTCAACCTGATTCCACAGAGGGCGGTGATCGCCTTTTTTTTCTCCATATGTGGGTCAGTCAAAAATGGTTGCTGAAGACATTAAGTTTATAAGTCCAAGAAATATGCTGTTTAATAAATAAACTGAGCGCCTACTCAAGTATGGGTAACCTCTAAAATAGCATTTAAGTAATATATATACATATATATATATATATATATATATATATATATATATATATATATATATATATATATACGTGTTTCATTAAAGACGATAGACAAGGTACTGCGATTAAGCTTTTTATTTAATTTTTCTTGTGT